TGAGGATGTCTCAAGCGAGGGCGCCGGTTTGGGATTCGTCACCGGATCCAGCGGATCCACCGGATCTGTCCATAAACGGTGCCGGAGGCCGCTCTGGGCTCCTCTGGGCACCTCCCCCGGGGCCGGTTTTGTGAGGATGTCTCAAGCGAGGGCGCCGGTTTGGGATTCGTCGGCGGATCCACCGGATCCACCGGATCCACCGGATCTGTCCTGAAACGGTGCCGGAGGCCGCTCTGGGCTCCTCTGGGCACCTCCCCCGGGGCCGGTTTTGTGAGGATGTCTCAAGCGAGGGCGCCGGTTTGGGATTCGTCACCGGATCCAGCGGATCCAGCGGATCCACCGGATCTGTCCGGAAACGGTGCCGGAGGCCGCTCTGGTCTCCTCTGGGCACCTCCCCCGGGGCCGGTTTTGTGAGGATGTCTCAAGCGAGGGCGCCGGTTTGGGATTCGTCACCGGATCCAGCGGATCCAGCGGATCCAGCGGATCTGTCCGGAAACGGTGCCGGAGGCCGCTCTGGGCTCCTCGGGGCACCTGTTTTTTTTTTTTTCCTGATTTTTTTTTTTATTTATTTTTGTTTTTTTTTTTTTTTTTTCCCCGGGGGCGGTTTGTGAGGATGTCTCAAGCAGAGGGCGACGGTTTTGGGTTCGGTCACAGGATCCACCGAATCTGTCCGGAAAACGGTGAGGCCGCTCCTGGGCTCCTCTGGGCACCTCCCCCGGGGCCGGTTTGTGAGGATGTCTCACGAGGGCGCCGGTTTGGGATTCGTCACCGGATCCACCGGATCAGTCCGGAAACGGTGCCGGAGGCCGCTCTGGGCTCCTCTGGGCACCTCCCCCGGGGCCGGTTTTGTGAGGATGTCTCAAGCGAGGGCGCCGGTTTGGGATTCGTCACCGGATCTGTCCGGAAACGGTGCCGGAGGCCGCTCTGGGCTCCTCTGGGCACCTCCCCCGGGGCCGGTTTTGTGAGGATGTCTCAAGCGAGGGCGCCGGTTTGGGATTCGTCGGCGGATCTGTCCGGAAACGGTGCCCGAGGCCGCTCTGGGCTCCTCTGGGCACCTCCCCCGGGGCCGGTTTTGTGAGGATGTCTCCAGCGAGGGCGCCGGTTTGGGATTCGTCGGCGGATCCACCGGATCCACCGGATCTGTCCGGAAACGGTGCCGGAGGCCGCTCTGGGCTCCTCTGGGCACCTCCCCCGGCGCCGGTTTTGTGAGGATGTCTCAAGCGAGGGCGCCGGTTTGGGACTCGTCACCGGATCCACCGGATCTGTCCGGAAACGGTGCCAGAGGCCGCTCTGGGCTCCTCTGGGCACCTCCCCCGGGGCCGGTTTTGTGAGGATGTCTCAAGCGAGGGCGCCGGTTTGGGATTCGTCACCGGATCAACCGGATCTGTCCGGAAACGGTGCCGGAGGCCGCTCTGGGCTCCTCTGGGCACCTCCCCCGGGGCCGGTTTTGTGAGGATGTCTCAAGCGAGGGCGCCGGTTTGGGATTCGTCGGCGGATCCACCGGATCCACCGCATCCACCGGATCCACCGGATCTGTCTGGAAACGGTGCCGGAGGCCGCTCTGGGCTCCTCTGGGCACCTCCCCCGGGGCCGGTTTTGTGAGGATGTCTCAAGCGAGGGCGCCGGTTTGGGATTCGTCACCGGATCCAGCGGATCCAGCGGATCCACCGGATCTGTCCAGAAACGGTGCCGGAGGCCGCTCTGGGCTCCTCTGGGCACCTCCCCCGGGGCCGGTTTTGTGAGGATGTCTCATGCGAGGGCGCCGGTTTGGGATTCGTCACCGGATCCAGCGGATCCACCGGATCTGTCCGGAAACGGTGCCGGAGGCCGCTCTGGGCTCCTCTGGGCACCTCCCCCGGAGCCGGTTTTGTGAGGATGTCTCAAGCGAGGGCGCCGGTTTGGGATTCGTCACCGGATCCAACGGATCTGTCCGGAAACGGTGCCGGAGGCCGCTCTGGGCTCCTCTGGGCACCTCCCCCGGGGCCGGTTTTGTGAGGATGTCTCAAGCGAGGGCGCCGGTTTGGGATTCGTCACCGGATCCAGCGGATCCAGCGAATCCAGCGGATCTGTCCGGAAACGTGCCGGAGGCCGCTCTGGGCTCCTCTGGGCACCTCCCCCGGGGCCGGTTTTGTGAGGATGTCTCAAGCGAGGGCGCCGGTTTGGGATTCGTCACGGGATCCACCGGATCTGTCCGGAAACGGTGCCGGAGGCCGCTCTGGGCTCGTGCTCTTCGCGCCGGGGGTGAGGAGTCACCGGATCTGTCCGGAAACGGTGCCGGAGGCCGCTCTGGGCTCGTGCTCTTCGCGCCGGGGGTGAGGATGACGTGAGTTCCACAGAAACTCCCTCAAATTAACGTATGTTTCATCTATCCTCCAGCCTCGCCAGACCAGCCCAAGGTTGCCTTGGCCAGCGACACGCCTTCCGAGCGCAGCTCGTCCGAGCATCGTTCGAGCTGTGCGCCCCCCGTGCTCGTGAGCCAGTCTTGTCTTCTTGCTGCGAGGCGCGATCGAAGACCTTATCGCGCGCTCCATGAAGGTCTGCGGCCGCGTGGTGCCCACTTTCCCCTCGTGCCAGTGGCTGTTCCGCACCCTGCGGCGTTGACAGCATGCTTTGTTTGGCATTCACAACTGAGTAGGGGGGGGGCAGGGGAAAAGAGAGGATGCCGATGTTGCATAGGATCTGCTCCAAGACTGACAGGGTCATACGCGCACACGGCCTCGCACGAGCATCGTGGGACAGAGGCAGGAGGCAGGAGCAAGGAGGAGCGGAGCGGCCGGGGTTGCAGACGAAGCCGCTGTGCTTCGGTGAGCGAACGAGGAGCAGCCAGGCAGCAGCGCAGCAGGACGGAGTAGCGCGCAGAGTGTGTGTATGTCATTGCGTGCTCCTCGACGAAGACGGCCCACGAGGCCTCCGATCACCGAGCGCGCTCCCCTGCTCGCAGCGGCTTCTCCTCCTCACCTCCACCTCCACCTCCACCTCCTCCTCCTCCTCCTCCTCCTCCTCCTCCTCCTCCTCCTCCTCCTCCTCCTCCTCCTCCTCCCCCTTGCGCCACGTGCTTACTCGCAAGCGTCCGAAAACAGACACACGTCTGCCCCGCTGCAACGGGTCGTGAATTCCCCCGCGGCGGACCCGGGCCGCTCGGCACAGAGGGTGCGCCCCGCCCCCGCAGGCCAGGGCTGCACGCCCCCTTGGGAGCTTGAGCTCTTGGCTTAAGTCGGGCGCGTCCCTCTGCACGGGAGGAATTTTCAAAATCAGTGAAAAAATAGTCTGGGAACGATCCTTGACAATTTAATATCTTGGAGGAAAAAATAGAAAAGAAACAAACAACAAAAACAAAAAAAACATAAATAAAGAAAGAAAAAGAATAACAGCAAAACAAAACTTCCAACATATGCCTGTAGGGGGACATGCCCGACCTAATTATTGGCGCTCTTCGCGTGCGGCGGAGGCGCTCGCTCGGGAGGGTGCCCGGGAGGCGTCCGTCCCTTGAGGGCTCCCCATCTGGCGCTGGTCGCGCAAGGCGACGGACTGCAGCATCGGCTTATCCCAGCATTGATCCCCCCGCCGAGTCTGCGGAACAAATGCGTGTCATACCCCGTAGATCTACGAACAGTCGATTGTGTGTCCCGTAGGCTTGGCGGAGAAATCGATTCTGGAGTGAGTCGTCTTTGTAGTCGATCCCCGAGTCGAACTCAAGGGGGATGTCCGCACCGCCATCGCTGGGACCAGCCAGCTGGGGATGCCGCAAGCGTCTGCTTGACTTTGGGCAAAGACGGGGTAACCTCTAGAACAGGTAATGGTTTGCTGCTCCGATGTCTCCAGAGCTCGTTTCGATTCCTCCGATTCGATTCGATTCGACTTCGATGGCTTCCGATTCGGATTCGATTCGATTTCGGATTCCGATGTGGGCTCCGATTTCTCAATGGAGGCCTACTAGCCTGCCGATTTCCGCCGATTCGACTTTTCCCGACTCGGCTGCCGATATCCGCCGATCCGATCCATTTCGATTGCCGATCCGACTTATCGATTCGGATTCGATTCTGGGCTCTCCGGTGTCCCGATCAAAAAGATGCGATGAGGGCGGCGATGATGTCCATGGCCCCTTCGCGATTGGAATTCCGCAGGCTTCCAGACCCTGGATTCCTTATCCGCTGGTTCCTTGTCCAGTGCCTTCGCCGTGTTCTCACCAGCCCATCGAATAGCAATTACGAGGCGAGCTGTTTTTTGTATCAAGGGCTTGCATCAGAAGCAGCGGCGATCGCGCTCCGAGAGCATCTTGGAATCATTCTGGGCCCATCGTGGGGCTTTGCTGGGACCCTCGTGGGATAATGCTGGATCCCTTTGGGATCTTCTGGGGCCCTCGTGAGGCCCTCCTGGGGTTCTCTTGGGGCCCCCTTTGAGAGCCCCTCGGGGGCCACCTTGGGAGCCATCGATTGAAAAGAGGGGCGGCGCGGAATAGGCCTGTCGGAGCTTTCTCGGGGCGCTCTTGGGGCCGTGTCGGGCCTCTCTTGGGCCTTTCCTGGGGCTCTCTTGAGCCACGTTGGAGTCATCTTGAAGCTTCAAGAGACCATCAGAAGCAAACAGGCGAGAAGGCAAATAGCCTGGTTTCCCACAGGTGTCGAAAGGATTTGGGCCTCTCGGGGGGGCCCTTGGCAGGCTCCCTGGCCGCTTGGAACCGTCTTGTGGCTGTCCTTGAGGCCTCTTGGAGGCATCGTTGAAAGCTGCATTGAGCTATCTTGTGCGATCTTGGAGGCCATCTTGGGTTGTCTGCCGTGATGCGAGCTTTGCCTGGGGCTTTGTGAACGTCGCGCCCGGAGGAGGTTATCCTGCGGCGTGCCCAGCAGGTTCCGAGCACGAGGCGGCGGCAGGGCCGCTCAAGCAGGAGCTCACGAACGAGGCGACAGGTGCGCGGATGGCAACCCCCAAAGAGGCGAGCTTCCGTTTGAGTCTGCATCGGGCGTCGCTCCGCTGGACCTCTGAGGAGCACGCGAAGGCGGCGACGAGTGCGCAGTTGGCAGCACCCCCCTGCGAGCGCTAGAGGACAGGAAGCAGTTGGCGGAGAGGCATGGGGAGGAGGCGGGAGGAGGAGAAGGAGGAGGCAAGAGGAGGAGGAGGAGGAGGAGGAGGAGGAGGAGGAGGCAAGAGGAGGAGGAGGAGGAGGAGGAGAAGAGGAGGGGAGGAAGGAGGGAAGGAGGAGGAGGAAGGAGAGGAGAAGGAGAGGAGATGGAGAGGAGGAGAGAGGAGGAGGAGGAGGAGGAGGAGGAGGAGGAGGAGAAGGTCGCACAAGCAGTGCTCTGCCCAAGACAGCTGCCTCAGCCACGGCGGCGCTGGGACAGAAGTGCTCGGAGCACAGCTGGCACAGGGGGGGCCAAAAGCAGCCCCAGCCTCGGGAGGGCGCCCTCCTGCCGTTCGAGCCTGGGCTTCCCGCCTCGAGGCGTTTCGGCTGCACTTCTGCTCCTGGGCGCCTACCCACATCGCGGCCGACCCTCGAGCCCCTCGACGTTCGACCCCTCGACCCTCGACTCCTCGACCCCTCGACCCCTCGATCCTCGACCCCTCGACCCTCGACCCCTCGACCCTCCATCCTCGACCCCTCGACCCCTCGATCCTCCCTCCTCGACCCCGCGCTGCACTTCTGCTCCCGGGCGCCGACCGACCGACACCACACAGCGGATGCCGTGGCTGGCGCTCCGGGGGGGGGGGGGGGGTATCGCGCAGACAACCGCCAGATCCGAGGGCTCCCGGGTGGGGGGGGGGCCACGAGCCCTCGGTGCCCCCCCCGTCCTCGACCGTGCGGGCAGCGCCTCCACGTCGGGAGTTGGTGCCCACGCGCTCGTCCGGGCCCCCCAGCCAGGCATGAAACGAGGGGGGGTCGCCTCGGATGGATCACCGTTCTGTCCAGCTTCAAAAAAGCTTGGTTCGCCTGAGAAACGCCCTGGGCGTTTCTGTTGGCGTTTTCTATTTTGTGCTCGTGACAGGCTGAAAACGCCGCTTTTTATATATATATATATATATATATATAGATAGATAGATACATACATGCATACATACATACATACATACATACATACATACATACATACATACATACACACACATACATACATGCATGCATGCTTGCATGCATACATACATACATACACATTCTAAAAATTGCGTATGTGCTTACCGTTGTTAGGGCTGTTTGTAGCGTTGTTTGGCGTTATTTGAGCGCTTTCAGGCTGAAAGCGCTAAACAAATGCTTGCAAAAACTAAAACAAAGCATCATGAGTTTAGAGTTGTGTTGTTTTGTTGAGACCTGAAAATGAAATTAAAAAGGATGTCCAAGACGCCGAGCTGAAAATGCGATTCGAAGGCACAAATCTATATACATTAGCGTGTATATATATATATATAACAAAAAACTGGGCAGATTCAAGGCGAACCAAGTTCAAAAGGCGTTCGCCGCCACAGGATACAAATGTACCTGTGTGGCGACTTGTGCGGCGGAAAATCCACGTATCTACAAGTGCCCCCCCTTCCCGGCACCGTCGCACCCATGCGCGCGCACGTGCTACCTCATCGATCTGCCCATGCCCCAGGCGCTGCCGCATTTTTTGAATTGGCTGACTTGCGGCGTTCGTCTATCCGTCTACCTACGCCCCCCCCCCGTCGCCGTCGTTCGGACGCCTCTTCCAATTTCAGAGTGTTTGGCCGTCTATCTATCTGAGCTGCCTCCGTTGCCGTCGCACCGACCTATCCGCGGCCATCTCTCCAATCCGGGGATCGGCCACAGCGCTATTTGGTGAGGTGTTGGCCCTTTTCTGTTGTTCCTTATGTTTTTCGTCGTGCTTCCGTTGTGTTGTTCGCTTTAGTGTTAAATGCTTTTGAATGTTGAACGTTTTTGTTGGTACGCGTTTCGTTTTTCGTGTTCCACCGAGCGCGTTCCACTACTCGCAAAGTGCCTACTCGCAAACGTCCGAAAAAAAAACAGGTCTTCTCGGACCTAGGCCATTTGCGAGTCGCTACTTGGCGCTCGGCATCGCTCGGACGTGTGCGGTTTTTCCTCGGCGAGGACCATCGAGGAGCATCCTTGACCATTTGGCGAAAAAGCCACGCACGAAACCGAAAAAAACACACGGAATGGACGTCCGAGCGATGGCGAGGGCGAGTAGTTAGTGGAGCGCGCTTGCCCCGTGTTGTTTCGCCGCGGTTCCAAGGTTGCGTTTCGTTGTTCGTTTTGCTTGTTCCGGTCATCCCGCGGCTCGTTTCGTTGTTCGCCTCGTGGCGCGCCGCCGTCGTCTTTCGATGTTATGATGATTGCGTGTACTAGGCATGCCGTGTACTGCCTCGGGTTTCGTGTCGTTGTTCGTTGTGTTGTCGATGTTGTGGTTCATTGTCGGTGGCTCGAGGCCGAGCAGTTATTTCCCCCTCGCTTGAGCCATAGCTTTGCGGCGTTCGTTTCGTTGTCCGTTTCATTGTTGTTGTTGGTGGTGGTGGTGTTGTTGTTAGTTTCTGTTTGGCCACCCGCCGCGTCGCCGTCGCAGCAAAAAACATCATGAGCGACAGATGGGTTTCGTTAGTTGTCCGCGGCGTGCCCATCGCACATCGCAAGACCGTTCTCATATGTTGTTTAAGAAAAGTTTGCGGTGGACAGATCGTTTTCGCGCAACTGTCAGCGACGGGCCCATCGCCGCCGCATCGGGGACCCCCCTCATGACATAACCCATCTCAGCACCCACTTAAGCCGGGTGTTGCTAGAAGCGCCCCTGGCCCAAGGTGCCCCCAGTTCTTAGCTCCATTCTGCAGCCCCTGGGGCCCTGTGGGCCTCGTGAGGGGTGGTCACGAGGCCGTCTGGGCCACCCCGAGAATTTTGGGGGCACCTTGGGCCAGGGGCATTTCTAGCAACGCCCGATTATACCCCGGTATATCCAATTGGCAACTCCCGCAGTGATCCAAGGGGGGGCCCCTCTCGAGGCCCAGGGGCCGTCGACAAAAGCGACCTGGAACGAGACGACAGCCCAGGGAAGTGGTCGAGATTTCTGGGGAGGCGGCACTGCGACAAGAATCGCTCTAGGCCTCCAAAGTGGTGCCCGAGCAGGTGGGATCGGAGGGTCGCTCCGCATCGGCGACGCATATGCATCGACGATGCGGGTCGATGTGGAGCCAGAGTTCTCAACGCCGATGGCGCCGATGCTTCACCGACGTCGCTGATGCATCACCAAAGCATCCCCGATGCATCGGCGATGCATCGCGATCCTCCGACTCCATCTACTCGGAACCCATCTAGGAGGCATGTAATCGCGCCGTTGGGGGCTTGGGTCGGGTGTCGCTAGAAGTGTCCCTGGCCCAAGAAGGAGGAGGAGGAGGAGGAGGAGGAGGAGGAAGAGGAGGAGGAGGAGGAGGAGGGAGGAGGGAGGAGGGAGGAGGGAGGAGAGGGCAGGGAGAGGCGGAGGAGGAAGGGAGGAGGGAGGAGGGGAGGAGAGGAGTAGGGGATGAGCAGGAGGCAGAGGGAGAGGAGGAGGAGGAGAGAGAGAGGGGGAGGAGGAGGAGAGATTTTGGATTGCGCGCGCGATGAACCTGGCGGCAGTCGCGAAAGAGTGGCGCTGCAACTCGCAGAAACTTTAAAGAACAGACAGGCAGACAGGCTGAACTAAAAAGCGGTGAACTGCACGGGCACCAAGTGAGGCAAGGTCAGCACAGCACGAATGGACCCCCGCATCAGAGCGGACGGGACGCGTCGAACCGAAGCAAGGAATCCGTACCTCCCTCCCTCCTCTCATGAAACCCCCATCCCCCACAGTAGGTGGCGACGGACGGATCAAGACATACTCTGCTCGCGTGCCGTGCCCTACACGGGCATTGTGGAGGAGAGGCGGAGGGAGGGAATAATATGTGAGAGGGGGAAAGAGGGTTGGGACACAGACCGAAATCCTCTTGCTCTGGTGGCACGGAAGAGAGCTTGGGAGAAGGCTGGGACACAGACCGAAATTCTCCTGCTCTCGTGATGTCGTGACATCTCGTACCTGAGCGGGGAAAGGAAAACTTCGCACCCTCGCGACACGGACGAACGACGACGGCGGAGGCAAGCAGAGGCGATTACCTTCGCGCTAACCGAGGGAGGGAGGGGATGCGACGCATGCTACGGCAGCTGCTGCTCCTCCCCTGCACCTCCCTATCGTCTCTCATGAAACCCCCATCCCCCACAGTAGGTGGCGACGGACGGATCAAGACATACTCTGCTCGCGTGCCGTGCCCTACACGGGCATTGTGGAGGAGAGGCGGAGGGAGGGAAACAATTAGGAAGGATAAGCGCGAGGGAGAAAGAGGGCTGGGACACAGACCGAAATTCTCCTGCTCTCGTGACACGGAAGAGAGCTTGGGAGAAGGCTGGGACACAGACCGAAATTCTCCTGCTCTCGTGATCAAAGTGTCTGAGCACAGACGTGCATTCATGATCCCACTTCACAAACATCGTCCTGAAGTTGACAAGTTGCGACGTGGCAGGAAGCTTGCAATACTCAATGCTCAGTCGCCTCACTCTGGGCCACCATCCGGGCTATCTGGAAGAAGATCCCGACGATCACCATCAGAGCGAGGCACGATCTTCTACTTCATATGGATGCCGATGGCCGCATATGCGGCAACCATGGCGGCCCTGGCAGCTTCGATGCCTCCTTGAGCAGCGATCGCGTCGCCGATCCTCCGATTCCTCTCGTCATCATCTCGCTGAGCAGCAATAAGGCCGGCTGCCACGTGATGTAGCTCAGGATGTCGGGCTCCAGCTTCACTACCGACCTCTCGCGGAGGAGCGAGAGGGCTGGCTGCCACTGCCCGCCCTGCTCGCACGCGCGGATCGGGATCCGGGAACTCTCGATGGCGGGCTCCAGATTCACCATCCACATCTCGATGAGCAGCGATCGGGCTGGCTGCCACTGCCAGCGCTTCTCGCACACGCTGGTCGGGGTTCTGTGGCTCAGGATGGAAGGTGCCAGCTTCGCCGCCAACATCTCGCTGAGCAGCGATAGAGCTGGCTGCCACGTGCTGTAGCTCATGATGTCGGGCTCCAGCTTCACCACCCACATCTCGCTGAGAAGCGATAGGGCCGGCTGCCACTGCTCGCCCTTCTTGTAGCTTCCGCTGTCCCAGTGCCGCTGCGCGTCGTTGGGGCCACGCAGCGCGGCGCGCGGCCAGCGGACACGCAGCCGCAAGATGGGCAGCAACTCTGACGGCAGCCTTGCTGGGCATCGCGGCGGGGGCCTCCGCCACGGCACCGGCCTCCAGCTTCGCGTCCGACGCGGGTACAGCAGCATCGTCAAAGTCACCAAGTTGCCCGCACGGTGTGCCGACGACGTATCGGCTCACATCGTACAGCAGCGGCGGCGGCGGAGCGCGCAAGGCCACAGCATCGCCTACGGCCCCGGGGGAAACCGTGCATCTCGGGGGGGGCGCTGGGGGGGCGCTGGGGGCAGGAGGAGGGGGGGGCGGGGTCTCGGCGCGACGCGGGAGCAGATGGTCGAGGCGGAGGGGGGGCACTGGTCATAGCGCCGCCTGGATTGCCACCCCCCAGAAGGCCCAACATACCCGACCCTGCCGCGGCCCGCCCTCGATACCCGAGCCCTGCCGCGGCCTGCCCCCACCCGCGGCCGCCCAGGTCGAGCGGCCGCCCCGTGCCGCCGCGGCGCCCAGGCCGAGAGACCCCGGGCGCGAGGGCGGGCGCGATCCGCGCCGCAAGTGGCGCGCTCTCTGGTGGGTTTCCCCGAAGGGCTTACGCGACCTCATCCTCCTCCTCCTCCTCCTCCTCCTCCTCCTCCTCCTCCTCATCATCATCATCCTCCTCCTCCTCCTTCCTCCTCCTCCTCCTCCCACTCCTCCTCCTCCTCCTCCCTCCTCCTCCTCCTCCTCCTCTTACCTCCTCCTCCCCCCCTCCTCCTCCTCACCTCCGCCTCCTCCTCCTCCTCCTCCTCCTCCTCCTCCTCCTCCTCCTCTCCTCCTCCCTCCTCCTCCTCCTCCTCCTCCTCCTCCTCCTCCTCCTCCTCCTCTCCTCCTCCTCCTCCTCCTCCTCCTCCTCCTCATCCTCACTCCTCCTCCCCTCTCCTCTTCCTCCTCCGCTCCTCCTCCTCGGCTTCCTCCTCCTCTCCTCCTCCTCCTCCTCCTCCTTCCTCCTCTCCTCCTCATCTTCCCTCCTCCTCCGACCTCGTCCTCCTCCTCCTCCTCTCCTCCTCCTCTTCATCCTCCTCCTCCTCCTCCTACTCTCCTCCTCCTCCTCCCCTCCTCCCTCCCTCCTCCTCCCCCTCCTCCTCCTCCTCCTTCTCCTCCTTCCTCTCCTCCTCTCCTCCCTCCTCCTCCTCCTCCTCCTCCTACTCCTCCTCATCCTCCTTCCTCCTCGGCTTCCTCCTCCTCTCCTCCTTCTCCTCTCTCCTCCTCCTCCTCCTCCTCATCATCATCATCATCATCATCATCATCATCATCATCATCATCATCATCATCATCATCATCCGCCGCCGCCGCCGCCGCCGCCGCCGCCCGCCCACGAGTCGAAGGTGATCGCTTCGGGTTGACCCGAAAGGGGGTCCAGCGACAAGTGGGTGGTGCAATAGATTTGTTCTGGGGTTGCAGTACATCTGGGGCGTGCAATATACATTGCTGGGCGCAAATATGTTGCTGGATTTTCGCGTGCAACACATGACTTGCAATTCAATGCAGTACAATTTTCCGGCGCAATACGTTTGCAACACAATTGCCCCAAATCTATTGCACCACCCGCTTTCAGCTGGACCCCCTTTTGGGTCACCCATCTCGCTTTTTTTTGTTTTGCCGATCGGTGCGGGCCGTTGCAACTCCCCTCCCATCCCCGTGGAGTGAATCTTGGCTGTTTTTGGCGCCTATTTCGAGCAGGTGGAGTCCCTCCCCAGGGGCCGCACTCTTGCAAGCAGTCGCACTAAGCAGAGGTCCAGAGCCAGACCCCCCCCCTTCCGCCCAATGTCGAAACGGCGAATTGAAAAACGCTCACAAGAAGAAAAAACGGCATAAAACATAAACGAGCGGCCCCCCCGACAGGTTTGGCCACGCGCAAAGGGGGGATACCGGGGAGGAGGGAATCGAGTAAACAGAAACTCGTGGCGCTCCGCGCGGATTTCTTGGATCTGCGCTGGGGCCCCTTGGCGGCGCCTCCGGCGCTGCCCCTGGCGCGCTCCGCGAGCCAGGGAGGGGGTCGGGCGCGGATCCAAGAAATCTACGAGGACCGTCAAAAGTTTATGTTTATGTTGTTTCTGTGTTCCTCTAACGAGGGCAACGTGGGAAGGGGGGGATTTAGGCTCCAGTGGCGACGATCCTTGAGATCCTGGCGTCTCTAGTTTTTCGAGCTGGGCGTGTTCGCCTTTTTGTTCGGGCCCCGGGACCCTCACAGATCGATCCAGCTCGGAAAAGTGACGCAGAAAGATGGGTTCTAGGGCTCCAGGCGTGATGTTTTACGATATCGGCGGTGTGCCTCCACCAGGGGACGATGATTCCGGCCTCGGCGATGGCGGTAAGATTCAGGCTTCTAGGTGGCCGAGAGACTACCACCCACACCAAAGTCTAGGATAATCTTCCCCTGGTGGAGGCCGACCTCTGTGTTGGTGTTGTTGCCCGCTTCCAAGCCTCCAAGGTTAGAGGCAATTTTGGTCGTTTTCGTCGGATACCAGCGGTTTTCAAGCCTCAGTGTGGTCTCCAGCAGCTGCGCCCTCGCCGAGAGCCCAGGGGTGCCCGGAGATCGTCCCGACCGGCCGCTGGACGCCCGAGTTATACAGCCCAGAAATCATTGGGGCAGGGATGGGCTCAGGGGGGGATGCATCGACGTCCTCCTCCTCCTCCTCCCTCCTCCTCCTCTCCTCCTCCTCCTCCTCCTCCTCCTCCTCCTCCTCCTCCCTTTCGTCCTCCTCCTCCTCCTCCTCCTCCTCCTCCTCCTCCTCCTCCTCCTTCTCCAATCGCCCCCGCCCGCCCTGCCCCGCCCAGGAACGTGCGGATTCGCTATCGGGGGCCTATCGCCGATCTGTCGGCGAGGTGTCGCCGACGCCAGCTCTACGTTTCCCCCACTGAGCCGGTCCCCCCTCTTATCGTTGTCCCCCACACGAGGAGGAAGGAGGAAGGTATCGACTACACGTAAGAGTGACCCTTCGCCGAAGTGACTTTTGGTGTGGGCCCAATGGGGCCCCCCGACCGCTGAACGCGAAGCGGTACTAGCGCCTTGCGCGCTTGAGTTCGGCCCTCCCGCGGCCCCAAAAAATCCGCGCACCAAAGGTCACTCTTACCCAGGGTCACTCTTGCGTGTAGCCGAACGGATGTGTTCGAGGTTTCAGGTTCGAGAATCGAGGGTCGAGGTTCGGGGTTCGATCCTCGAGCGAGGAGCAGGCTTGGAGAGTCCAGGATCCGCGCTGGGGATGGGTTCTCCCCCAAAACGACCGAAGCCCTCCGTGAAACCCTTCCTGGATGGCTTGCGAAGGGTTTCGGGAGGGCTTCGGCCGTTCTGAGGTCGAAGCGGTCCCCAGCGAAGCCTGGTCTCCTCGGTCGCCCGCGGGGGCGCCTGAGCCGAAGAGGCGCCGTTCTCCAGCGAAGCCTGGTCCTCGGGAGGGCTTCGGTCGTTCTTTAAGGCGAAGCGGTCCCCAGCGAAGCCTGGTCTTCTATAGGTCGCCCGCGGGGGCACGAAGAGGGCTGCGCTTCGCGCGTCGCGACCCGAGCCGAGGAGGCGCCGCTCGTCCTCCAGGGCGGCGGCGCGGGGGCGCGGAGATGGCCGCGCGTCTCGCAGCGCGGGGCGCGAAGCCGGGCGGCCTGGGTTTTTCCCCGCATCCTGAGTGGGGTTCTTGTTTTCCCAGAACATCCTCTCCTCCCTCCCGCCTCCCGCCTCCCATATCAATACCATTTCCACCCCTCCAGGGAGGCCCCGCATGAGCGAGGAGGGCATCGGAGAACCATAGTGTTTACATGGTTTCGTGCCCTTCCCACCTCTCCAGGGAGGCCCCGCCTGAGCGAGGAGGGTATCGGAAAACCGTACTATTTACATGGTTTCGTGCCCCTTCCACCCCTCCAGGGAGGCCCCGTCTGAGCGAGGAGGGTATCGGCAACCCATATTATTTTCCATGGTTTCGTGCCCCTCCCTCCACTCCAGGGAGGCCCCGCCTGAGCGAGGAGGGTATCGGAAAACCATACTATTTACATGGTTTCGTGCCCTTCCCACCTCTCCAGGGAGGCCCCGCCTGAGCGAGGAGGGCATCGGAAAACCATATTATTTACATGGTTTCGTGCCCCTCCCATCCCTCCAGGGAGGCCCCGCCTGAGCGAGGAGGGCATCGGAAACTCGTAGTATTTACATGGTTTCGTGCCCCATCCCTCCCCTCCAGGGAGGCCCCGCCTGAGCGAGGAGGGCATCGGAAACCCATACTATTTACATGGTTTCGTGCCCCTTCCACCCCTCCAGGGAGGCCCCGCCTGAGCGAGGAGGGTATCGGAAACCAATATTATTTACATGGTTTCGTGCCCCTCCCTCCCCTCCAGGGAGACCCCGCCTGAGCGAGGAGGAGATCGGAAACCCATACTATTTACATGGTTTCGTGCCCCTTCCACCCCTCCAGGGAGGCCCCGCCTGAGCGAGGAGGGTATCGGAAACCCGTACTATTTACATGGTTTCGTGTCCTTCCCACCCCTCCAGGGAGGCCCCGCCTGAGCGAGGAGGGCATCGGAAACTCGTAGTATTTACATGGTTTCGTGCCCCTCCCACCCCTCCAGGGAGGCCCCGTCTGAGCGAGGAGGGTATCGGAAACCAATACTATTTACATGGTTTCGTGCCCCTCCCTCCCTTCCAGGGAGACCCCGCCTGAGCGAGGAGGAGATCGGAAACCCATACTATTTACATGGTTTCGTGCCCGTTGTCCACCCCTCCAGGGAGGCACCGCCTGAACGAGGAGGGTATCGGAAACCCATACGATTTACATGGTTTCGTGCTCCTCCCACCCCTCCATGGGGGCCCCGCTTCAGCGAGGAGGGTATCGGAAACCCATACTAGTTACATGGTTTCGTGCCCCTCCCATCCCTCCAGGGAGGCCCCGCCTGGGGCTTCTCGGGCGCCCTCGCGCCTTCTGAGGCGTTCCTGTTTTGCCTCTGCGGGGAAGGCGCGCAAGACTCCTCGGAAGGCCGGGGGACTTCCGAGCCTTCTGAGAAGGCCTTCTCCTCTTCCTCCTTCCCCTCCTCCTCCTCCTCCTCCTCCTCCTCCTCCTCCCCTCCTCCTCCTCATCATCCTCCTCCTCCTCCTCCACCTCCACTACTCCCAAGGAAGCGGTCGCGACCTTCTCGGGATCGCGCATTGACACGTACTGGGCATCGCTTGGCAAGCGTGACGACGGTGGGGGGGGCACGAAGCGCGTGCGGGGTATGCCGAAATGTGCGGCGCGGACGCATGCGAACACAACCACTGGGGCTTTCGGTGGAGCTCTCTGTGGGGACACAAAACGTGTGAGGAGTGTGCCGAACTGTGCGGCGCGGACGCATGCGAACGCAGCCACAGGTGCCTTCGAGGGAGTTCCGCATGGGACAACGAGACTTGTGCCGAAATTTGCGTTGCGGGCGCATGCGCTTGCATCCATTGGGACCATGGTTGCGGCGCCACCACACGCCTGAGGAGTGTATCGAAACACGCGCGGCGCGGACGCATGCGAACGCAGCCACTGAGCTTTCAGTGTAGGTTCCTATGTGACCAAGAAACGTATGAGGGGTGAGCCGACATGTGTGGCGGACACATCCGAACGCAGCCACTGGGCCCTTCGGTGGGGCCCCCTATGGGGCCATGAAACGTGTGAGGGGTGTGCCGGCACAAAGATAACTATGCGGGAGGAGGGGGAGGGGGGATGGCAGCGGGAGGTGAGGAGTGACGCGGGGCGCTGCGTATGCAAAACAAGGATCCCACACCACAGAGCGGTTGGGAAATTAACTTGGCGATGGGCCCAACCATATGCAGTTGTGAGTAGCGCAGTTGTGCGTATCGCCCTCGGTGGAGCTCCCTATGGGGCCACGAAATGTGTGAGGGACTTACCGAAACGGGCACTGTGAGCAAATGCGAGCGCAACGACTGGGGCCTGCGGTGGGGTTCCCTGTGGGGCCACGAAACCTGCGAGGGGTACGAAAAATATGGGCGGGGTGGACACGTGCGAACGCAGCCACTGGGGCCTTGAGTGGAGATCCTTCTGGGGCCACGAAGCGTGTGCCGAACACTAGACACCGCCACTGGAGCCTTCGGTGGCGCTCCCTGTGAGGTCACGAAACGTGTGAGCGGTGAGCCGACATGGGTAGAGCGGACGCATGCGAACACCGCCACAGGGGCCTCCGGTGGAGCTATGGGGCCACGAAACGTGTGAGAGGTGTTCCGAAATACGCGGGGTGGACGCATGCGAACACCGCCTTTGGGGCCTTCAATAAAGCTGCTTATGGGTCCATGAAACGTGTGAGGGGTGTGCCGACATGGGGGCGGTGGGCGCATGCAAACACCGTCATTGGGACCTCTTCAATGGAGCCCCCTGTGGAGCCACGAAACGTGTGAGAGGTGCCCGACATGGGTGCAGCATGCGCATGCGAACGCAGCCTTTGGGATTTTCGGTGGCGCTCCCTATGTGGCCACGAAAGGTGTGACGGTGTATCGAAATCGGTGCGGTGGGCGCATGCGGACGCAACTATCGGGGTTTTCGGTGGAGCCGTGTATGGGGCCACGAAACGTTTGAGGGATGTGCCGACATGGTTGCGGCGGGCGAATGCGAACGCAGCAATTGAGGCCGTCGGTGGAGCTGCCGATGGGGCCATGGAGCGTGTGCAGGGTGTGCCGACATGGGTGCGGTGGGCGCATGCGAACGCAGCCGCTGAGGCTTTCGGCGGAGCTCCTTGTGGTGCCACAGACCGTGTGAGGTGTGCGCCTGACCAGGTGCGGTGGGCGCATGCGAACGCGGCCACCGGAGTTTTCGGTGGAGCTCTTTATGAGGCTACGAAACGTGTGAGGGGTGTGTCGAATTGGTTGCGGTGGGCGCGTGCGAACGCAGCAGTTGAGGTCTTCGGTGGAGGTCCCTACGGTGTCACGAAAAGGGTGTAGGGTGTGTCGAAATTCGCGCGGTGGACCTGTGCGAACGCAGCCATTGGGGCCCTCGTTTGAGCTCCCTGTGGGTCCACGAAACGCGCGAGGTGTGTGCCGACATGGGTGCGGTGGGCGCATGCAAACTCAGCCATTGGGGCCTTCAGTGGAGCTTCATTTGGGCCACGAAACGTCTGAGGGATGCGCCGACATGGGTGCGGTGGGCGCATCCGAGCGCAGCCACTGGGGCCTTCGGTGGAGCTGCCTATGGGGCCATGGACCGCGTGCGGTGTGTATCGACATGGGCGCGGTGGGCGCGCGCGAATGCAGCCACTGGGGCATTCGGTGGAGTTCCTTATGGGGCTCACGAAACGTGTCAAGAGTGTGCCGTAATACGTGCGGTGGGCGCCTGCGAATGGAGCCACTGCGGCCCTCGGTGGAGCTCTTTGTGAGGCCACGAAACGTGTCAGGAGTGTGTCCAAGTGGGTGCGGTGGGCGCATGCGAATGCAGCCATTGGGGCCTTCGGTGGAGCTCCCTACGAGGCCACAAAAAGTGTCAGGAGTGTGCCGACATGGGTGCGGTGGGCGCACGCAAACGCAGCCATTGGCGCCTCCGGTGGAGCTCCCAAGGAGGCCGCGAAACGTGTGAGGGGTGTGCCGCCACGGGTGCGGTGGGCGCATGCGAACGCAGCCATTGGCGCGTTCGGTGGGGCTCCTTGTGAGGCGACGAAACGTGTGACGGATGTGTCGAAATAGGTGCGGTGGGCGCATGCGAACGCAGCACTTGGGGCCCTCGGTGGATCTCCCTGTGGGGCCACGAAACGTGTAAAGGGTGGACCGAAACAGACATGCGGAAGGCAGAGGCAAGGATAGGAGAAGGGAGGGGGCAGCTGGAGGAGGAGGAGGAGGAGGAAGAGAACGCGGGGCGCTGACGTTTTCAAACCGAGGAAGCAGATCGCCGGATTTCGGAACATATCGTCGGATGGCTGGGAGAAACAGGTCGTCGGATGTCTGGCCCCGCGTCCGTCCGCAGGGGGCGACGAAGCGGTCGCGCCCGGCGCGTGAACCGGAGAGCTACCCTCCTACAGAGAGCGGCGCGAGGGCGCGGCAACAGCCGCGCCGCGGGCAGAGCAAAAATAATCAAAAAATCGTCCCCTGATAATTCAAAATCAAAGTAGTCAAAACCAAATAGTCCAAATGTGGACGCACCCCCTAGGGCCTTCGATGGAGCTCCCTATAGGGCACGAACCGTGTGAGGGGGGTGCCGACATGAGTTCCTGGGACGCATGTGAACGCACCCCCTGGGGGCTTCAGTGGAGCTCCCCATGGGGCCAAGAACTGCGTGAAGGATGTGCCAACATTGGGTGGCGGGGACGCAGGTGGCCACGCTCCCTCGGTGCCTCCGGTGGAACTCCCTATGGGGATGCGAACCGTGTGAGGAGCGTCCCGACATGGGTGGCAGGGACGCATGTCAATTGTGCCATTGGGACCTTCGGCAGAGCTCCCTATGGGGCCACGAACCGTGTGAGGGGTGTGCCGAAGTGGGTGGCGGGAACGCAGGTCAACTGCGCCACGGGGGCCTTCGGTGGAACCCCCATTGGGCCACGAACCGTCTGAGGGGCGTGCCGAAATGGGTGGCGGGGGCGCATGCCATTGGGACCTTCGGAGGAGCCCTTTTATTGGGCCACGAACCGTGTGATGAGTGCGCCGAACTGGGTTGCGGGGACGCAGGTAAACTGTGCCGCTGGGGCCTTCGGCGGAGCTCCCTGTGGGGCCACGAAACATGTGAGGGGTGTGCTGACATCGGTGGCGGGGGCGCATTTAGATCGTACCATTGGGGTTTTCGGTGAACCACCTTATGGAGTCACGAACCGCGTGAGGGATGTGCCGTAATGGTTGGCGGGGACGCATGTAAATTGTACCACTGGGCCTTCGGTAGAGCTCCCTATGGGGCCACGAAACGTGCGAGGGGTGTGCCGACATGGGTGGCGGGGACGCATGCGAACTGCGCCATTGGGACCTTCGGTGGAGCTTCCTATGGGGCCACGGATCGTGTGAGGCATGTGCCGAAATGGGTGGCGTGGGCGCGTGTAAAACGTGCCAGCGGGACTCTCGGCACTTCGGCGGAGCTCCGATGGGGCCACGAAACATGTGAGGGGTGTGCCGAGGTGGGTGGCGGGGACGCGAAGTGTGCCGCTGGGACCTTCGGCGTAGCCCCCATTGGGCCACGAAACATTTGAAGTGGTGTGTCGAAATTGGTGGCGAGACGCATGCGAACTGTGCCACTGAGACCTTCGGCGGAGCTCCTATGAGGTCACGAAACGTGTGAGGGGTGTGCCGGGATGGATGGCGGGGACGCATCAAAACTGTGCCAGTGGGACCTTCTGCGGAGCTCCTATGGGGCTACGAAACATGTGAGGGGCGTGCCGGAAGGGGACGCATGCGAACGGCGCCACTGGGGCCTTCAGCGGAGCTCCTATGGAGCCACGAAACGTGTGAGGGGTGTGCCGACATGGGCGGCGGGTTGGGGCCTTCAGCGGAGCTCTTATGGGGCCACGAAACATGTGAGGGGTGTGCCGAAATGGGTGGCGGGGACGCATGCGAGCTGCACAACTGGGACCTTCGGCGGAGCTCTTATGGGGCCACGACACGTGTGAGGGGCGTGCCAAAGTGAGGGGGTGACGGGAGGAGGAAGGAAGGAAGGAAGGAAGGAAGGAAGGAAGGAAGGAAGGAAGGAAGGAAGGGAGGAGGGAACGCGGGGACCGTCTTCAAAACGAGGACCCGACACCACAGGATGGTTAGGAAATAGCCAAAAGTGACCAAAATAGCCAGAACAAACTGACTATTTTTGAGCTTTCTTCCTGTAGAGGGACATGCCCGACTCGAGCGCAGGCGCGGGGCGCGAAGCGGAAGTCGCGCGCCCTGCGGGGCCCGCTCGCAGAGGCCGCCGCCCTCGCACGGCATCCCGCCCGCGCGTCTCCAGCGCGGGGGGCTCCGCCGTCTCGTTTTCACCCGCGGCGGCCGCCGCCTTCTGGCCTCTACCTGTAGAGCGCAGCGTGCCCAGAACCCGGAGGCGGAGGAGGAGAAGGAGGAGGAGGGGGAGGAGGAGGGGGAGGAGGAGGGGGAGGAGGAGGAGGAGGAGGAGGAGTAGGAGGAGGGAGAAGGAGGAGGAGTCGGAGGAGGAGGAGGAGGGGAGGGGAGGAAGAGGAGGAGGACTCGCGGGGGGGGGGGACGCGACGGGAGGTTCTTCGCTTCTTTCGGCATTCCGGGGCCCTTGCTGAGCCTCGGGGCCGTCAAACAACGGCTTGGGATGAAAAGCCGGTCCTCAGGAACGGGTCCAGACCTCCTGGGGCTTCACTCTGCGGAAAAATCATGACGTCGGGGGCTTGGGTGGCCGTGTTTCCTGAGCTGTCGGGCACTTGCGTGCTGTCGATTGGCGTCTGGTGAGCATGCGCGCAGTGTCTCCATCGGCATGCAGGCATTGCATCGCAGGTTCCTCAGCTGACCGGACGCATGGAGATGGGAAATTGCCCATACCCCATGCTTGCGTGTAGCAGATGTTGACGCGGTGTGTGAAACCGCGGTCAAAAAAACAGCAAGAGTTGTTGCGCATGTTCGAAGTGTTCTGATCAAGACGAATATCTTCGCAACATGATACTCACAATTGCAAGCCGAGGTTCACAGCTCTAGAGTGGGTAGGTGTGCATTCAAGAATTGTTTCTTATGTCTACCAGCCTGTATGAAGTGGCGACGCGTTGAGTCAAGCTCATCCACGATGGCTGAGTTAAATTGTACCTGAGACGAGCAATTTGCGACCAACACGTCATTCAGAATTGCGAGTTCAATGTTTTTCTCATCAAGAGGTTTGGTTGCATCACACCCCGAGTTGCCCACGTATGACACCCATCTGTTGCTCAATGATGATTCGTGGTGGTAGCGGCGGAAAACGACCATTCGTCCATTAACCGCTTATCTTGTGCATAGGATGAGAATTGCAAGCGGAATTACGTGAGCCAGGGCACCTCGGCATGTTGCGTTTCCACAGTATCGGGCACCGGAGGACACCCGAAGAGGATACTGAAGGATAAGATAATATGTGAAAGACAAGAGAGAGGAAGAGGAAAGGGAGTAGGAGCAGGAGGGGGAGGAAGCTGAAGGAGGATGAGGAGGGAGAGGAGGAGCTTATGCCTGCCTCACATGTGGAAGGAAGGCTGAGGAGGAGGAGGAGGAGGAGGAGGAGGAGGAGAAGGAGATGAGGAAAGGAGGAGAAGGAGAAGCACGGCGGGAGGAGAAAGGGGAGGAAGAGGAGAAGGAAGAGGGAGGGGAAGGAGAAGGAGGAGGAGGAGGAGCAGGAAGAAAAGGGACGAAGGAGGAGAAGGAGGAGGAGGAGAAGGAGGAGGAATGGAGAGAGGAAGCATGGGAGAAGAAGGAGAAGAGATCGAGGCAGAGAGGGAGGAGTGATGAGGAGGAGGAGGACGAGGAGGAGAAGGCTGGAGGAGAAGAAGGAGGGAGAAGAGGGGCGAGGGAGGACGAGGGGGGGGAGGGGGAGAAGAGCGAGAGGGAGGCAGCGCGGCAGAGGCGGTCCGCACGCACGTCCAGGCAACCCGGGCTGCGGTGTTGCGAATTGCCCCGCGTGCAAGAGGAGGGGAGAGAAGAAGAGCGACAGCAGCGGAGAGAGGAGGCAGAGAAAGAAAGCGCACTCACGCGGCGAGGCCGCGGGGGGGGGCGCGCGGGGCGGCCCGGCCGCGGGGCAGCCCCTGGCAGCAAGCTCGGGACGGCGTCGCGGGCGCACCCTGGGGAGGCACCAGCAGCGGCAGCAGTGCAGGGCGAGGCCCAGCAAGTGGGGAGCTGTGGGAGCTGCAGGGCTGCTGGCAAGCAGGACGCTGCAAGAAGGGACAGGGGAGAGGAGGAAGAAGAGGAACCAGACGGGTTTGCAACAGCAGGCAGGCTGCAGGAGGAGGAGGAGGAGGAGGAGGAAGAGGAGGAGGAGCGGTCCCTCGTCGACGCCACTCGGCGGGGAGCCGCAGCGCACTGCAGCCATCGCTTTGACGGGGTCTGAACACGTTGCGGGCATGGGTTCCGGCATGCATTGCTTCAGATATCTACTTACATCTATATACATATATATATATATACAAACACACATGTACACATATGTATATTGATGTACACATGTGTATACATTTGTAGAGATATGCGTATGTATATGGCCCTTTGGGATGAGGCATAGCAGGATTCAGGCAGAGGTCTTTGTGGTTGCGGCGCTTGGCCGACGCTACCTCTGCTTCTATTTGCTTGTCTCTTCGCTTACAGTGTCCAGGCTAGCAGTCACGCGCGGGGCCGGTGCAATCTGGGGTCGCGCTCTCCTCCTCCTCTTCCTCCTCCTCCTCCTCCTCCTCCTCCTCCTCCTCCTCCTCCTCCTCCTCCTCCTCTTCCTCTTTCTCTTCCTTTTCCTCCTCCGCCTCCTTCTCCTTCTTTTCCTCCTCCTCCTACGTTTCCTCCTCCTCGGCCAAAAAATGTGTCTACGTACATACGCGCGCAGATATATACACACACACGCACACCTAGACTCCGGGAAGGCCTCGCGCTCGAGGCGTCGAGGGGCGGTCTCTTCGTCCCCCGCTGGGAGGCCAGCGGAAGGGAGAGATGCGCCGCCAAGACATGGCACTGTGCTGGGGGCCAGGGCTTCCAAAGTTGGCCACGTGCGCATAAAAATACACACATGCACAGACACATACGCACACACACACACACACATACAAGTGATACTACCACATGTCATGCTGATGCTTACGCTGTCCTCTCAGCTGCTGTTTGGTCCAGCTGCGGCCAGCCCCATATCCGGTGCGCAAGATCCGGAGTGGATGCACTCCGGCCAGCACAAGGCGCACAACTGACCAGGCCCACGAGGATGCTGAAAGCTCTGCAGTCCGTGGTGTCGACGTGTCGATGTGGTAACGTGTCCGTTGCGGTCATAGTGGGGCGCCTGCGGATCGGTCCTGGGCTCACCTTAACCTTCACCCACCCACCACCCCGCCCATCCCTCTTCCACCCCAGACAAAAAAATAGATCTGGGCCCGAAGAGCCCCCCAGCAGCCAAAGACCTCCTCCTCCTCCTCCTCCTCCTCCTCCTCCTCCTCCTCCTCCTCCTCCTCCTCCTCCTCCTCCTCCTCCTCCTCCTCCTCCTCTTCTACGCTGGGCTCTCCTCCTCCGTCCTCCTCTCCTCTCCTCCTCCTCCTCCTCCTCCTCCTCCTCCTCCTCCTCCTCCTCCTCCTCCTCCTCCTCCTCCTCCTCCTCCTCCTGGGTGCCCCACAAGGCCTTCCCCTCCTGCCCGGGGCCCGCGGCGGCTGCCCCGGCTGCACTGCAGGCACCCCCTTTTTTGCCGCGCTTCTGGCCAGTCCGAGGCAGCGCACCGGAGACAGTGGCGGCCATCCCGCCCGACCAGAACGCGCTCGAAATCGGCCCCTCTGGGGGTCAAATCCCGACCCGTCGGGGCTTGTTTCGACTCCTCCGATTCGATTCGCTTCGATTCCGGTGGCTTCCGATTCCGATCCGACTCGACTTGGGATTCCGATTTGGATTCCGATGTCCCATTGGAGGCCTATTTGCTTGCCGATCTCCGCCGATTCGAGACTCTTCCCGACTCGGCGCCGCTTTCCTCCACATCCGATTTCTGTCGATCGCCGATCCGATTTAGCGATTCGATCCTGTGGTCTCTCCTGCCCGCTGCTCGAGGCGCCTCCGGCCGTGGCCGCGGGAGGCCTCCGGAAGGGCCCTCAGAGAGAGCCGGCGGCGCCCCGAGGGGGGGAGGGCGCGCGGCGGGGGCAGGCCTTCCCAAAGAGGGCGGCGGGGCTCCCCGAGGAGCCCTCGGCGTGCTCCCCGCGGAGGCTCCGAGGAAGCTCCGCCGAGGGCCGCGGAGGCCCTCTGAGCCTCCGAGGCATCGTGAAGTCGGGCCTGTCCCCCTCCAGGGGGATGTTCGAAGAAAAGCAGAAAATACCCCAAAGATAATCCAAAAATAGTCCGGGGACTATTTTCCGGGTATTTTTTACCTGTAGGGGGACAGGCCCGACATAACGGTATCGCCCACACGCAGGGGGGGGACCCTGCCGCACCGGAGTGTGTCCGAGGCTATGCCTCCTCTCGCCCTCGCTCTGAGGCTCTGCCGCTTCCTCCCTCTTCTTCTCTGCCTAATTGAAGCTTCGCGCGGCCCGCTTAGCTTCGACCGGAAGAGGTGCGCTCTCGACCCGCGGATCAAAAAGTGTGCACACCGCGCCACCCCCAGAGGGGCGCAGAGCGCCATGGAGGGCCGCCGTCGCGTCGACGGGCCTTCCTCCGAGCGCAGGGGGCACCGCCGAACACCACCTGGGCGGTGCCTCCGCGGCCCGACGGTGAGACGCCTCGGTCTGCGCGCCACCGCCGCCTCGTCCTCGCCGTCGTCGTCGCCGTCGCCGTCCTCGTCCTCAGCCTCGACCTCGTCCTCGTCGTCGTCGTGGGCGGCCTCGTCCCTGTCCTCGTCCTCAGCCTCGACCTCGTCCTCGTCGTCGTTGTGGGCGTCCTCGTCCTCGTCCTCAGCCTCGACCTCGTCCTCGTCGTCGTCGTGGGCGGCCTCGTCCCTGTCCTCGTCCTCAGCCTCGACCTCGTCCTCGTCGTCGTTGTGGGCGTCCTCGTCCTCGTCCTCAGCCTCGACCTCGTCCTCGTCGTCGTCGTGGGCGGCCTCGTCCCTGTCCTCGTCCTCAGCCTCGACCTCGTCCTCGTCGTCGTTGTGGGCGTCCTCGTCCTCGTCCTCAGCCTCGACCTCGTCCTCGTCGTCGTCGTGGGCGGCCTCGTCCCTGTCCTCGTCCTCAGCCTCGACCTCGTCCTCGTCGTCGTTGTGGGCGTCCTCGTCCTCGTCCTCAGCCTCGACCTCGTCCTCGTCGTCGTCGTGGGCGGCCTCGTCCCTGTCCTCGTCCTCAGCCTCGACCTCGTCCTCGTCGTCGTTGTGGGCGTCCTCGTCCTCGTCCTCAGCCTCGACCTCGTCCTCGTCGTCGCGTCGCCGTCCTCGTCCCTGTCCTCGTCCTCAGCCTCGACCTCGTCCTCGTCGTCGTTGTGGGCGTCCTCGTCCTCAGCCTCGACCTCGTCCTCGTCGTCGCCGTCGCCGTCCTCGTCCCTGTCCTCGTCCTCAGCCTCGACCTCGTCCTCGTCGTCGTTGTGGGCGTCCTCGGCCTCGTCGTCGTCGTCGTCGTCGTCCTCGTCGTTGGCGTCGTCGGCGACGGCGGAGACACCGCCCCGCCCCACGGGAGCCGCCGCGTCCGTCCCCCCAACCCCGCCGGCCCCAGCGCTGCCCCAGGAGAGGAGGAGGAGGGAGGAGGAGGAGGAGGAGGAGGAGGAGGAGGGAGGAGGGAGGAGGAGGAGGAGGGAGGAGGAGGAGGAGGAGGAGGAGGAGGAGAGGAGGAGGAGGAGGAGGAGGAGGAGGAGGAGGAGGAGGAGGAGGAGGAGGAGGAGGAGGAGGAGGAGGAGGAGGAGAGGAGGAGGAGGAGGAGGAGGAGGAGGAGGAGGAGGAGGAGGAGGAGGAGGGAGGAGGAGGAGGAGGAGGAGGAGGAGGAGGAGGAGGAGGAGGAGGAGGGAGGAGGAGGAGGAGGAGGAGGAGGAGGAGGAGGAGGAGGAGGAGGAGGAGGAGGAGGAGGAGGAGGAGGAGGAGGAGGAGGAGAGGAGGAGGAGGAGGAGGAGGAGGAGGCGAGGCCAGACGAGACGAGATGAATGACAACGTCAGCAAGCTCTTCTGCCCTGAACTTCAGGAGCACCGCCACCTCGATGCCGAGCGCCGAGACGTGCGGTCGCACCAGGAAGCCAGGGAAAGATGTGAGATTCCGCGCAACACCCTCCGCTGCATTCACACTTTCAGCTCTGCTTGCACTCGGCTGGGCTCGGAGCAGATGCAGGCGGGGCCGAAGACGCCATTGTCGCCGCCGTCGCCGCGAAGCCCTTGAACATGGAGCCCACGTCCAGCTCGGGGGTCAGCGGCTTCAGCGGTCCTGCAATTGGCACGTGCGGTGCCGAACCTCGAAGAACAGCGATATTCGTCGCCAGCCGCTTCCGTTCCGTGTTGGACATCCATGCGCACACACACACACACACACACACACACGCACACACACACACACACACACACACACACACACACGCACACGCACACACACACACATGTATTGGCGACTGGCGCACGATCCACGCGTGCACGTCGACGCGCGAACGGCTGCTCTTGCGCCACAGCTCGATGCGGCACGCCCAGGAATTCCGCAAACTGCCTGCGGAGCTCAACGAGCGGAACGAAGATCTCCGCCTCGGCCCTGAACCCTCTCGGCGCCGAAATTGACGCAGCTTCCGCGGCCCCCGCGAGGAGCGGCTCCTCCACGTCCACGGCCTGCTTCTCGACGCTCCTCGGCGTCCCCGTGACGCGCGGGGCCCCGCATTGCAGGCCGTGGCAGGTCGAGAATACGACCGCGCCGCACGAGCTCCGCATGCCCATCAGCAAGGGCTCCGAGACCTTACCGACACTGCACGCCACACTCCCTCGGGCGCGTCGACCAGGAGCGGCCCATGCCCCCCTCGATCAGCAGCCGCCCGGACTTGCTTGCAGCGCTCCGCCGTGTCACTGGGCAGCAGACCCATGGCCGTGAGCTGTGGGAGCGCGTCCCCGAGGCGATGGTGCCGAAGTCCCAGGCTCGCGTCGGGCTTGCCGCGCAGCAGGAGCGCGTGCCCCAGCGCCGCCAGCCTCTCGATGAGCTCGGCGACGATCTCCGCACCGGGGCCCAGGCTGAGACTGGCCGCTGCCTGCTGGGCCGCCTGCTCCACCATTGGCGGCTTCCCTTGCGAGGGCCCGCTCCTTGCGCAGTCGCCGATCGAGATCGCTAGCGCTACGTCGAGCCCATTCGTTTTCCCTTCACTGGCATCTGAGGCCTCCCGCAGGCACCCTAGCCCCGCAATGGCTAGCCCAAGCTGCCGCGTACCAGCGGACTTCCGGCAAGCCGCCGCCAACGCGAGGGACAAATATCAGGAGCTTGCCGACTTGAGCAATAGGGTTTCGTCCGCTGTGGACGGCTTGGGCCAAAATGACTACGGATGAGGAGGAGAAGGAGGAGGAGGAGGACCAGTGCAAAACCAAGAGTCACCAACGATGTTGGAATTAACTCTCCATCCAAGCTCCTTCTTCATAAGCCACTTCATCGGTTCATTTCCATTGAGGAAACTGCCTCGTTGGAAGACAATCGTTTGAAGACCCTGGCGCATGCCAAAACATTGTTCTCGGGATTCTAATGCCACGGATTAACCTGACTGCTGCGTCTTGACGATTTTGAGTCTTACCAGAACGTCAGAACGCCATTCATGGGACTTCAGCACAACGAGTCAACATAATTGTTACACCCGCATAATCCTGAGCCCTTTCAAAACACTACCTCTGGCACGATGATGATGAAAACCCGTGGAATTCTTGCAATTTGTGTAAACGAATGCGCGCGGCGCTAAGGCGAGAGCCACATTTTGAAAAGGAACCGCCCTCAATCCGTGAAATGATTGCAAAGTGTTGAAACGAATATGCACTCCGCAAAGGCGAGAGCCACATTTTGATAACGACCCGCCCTCAATCCGTGAAACTCCTGCAAAGTTTTAAAATGACTGCGCTCCGCGCTTAGGCGAGAGCCACATTTCGAAAACCACCCGCCTTGAATCCACGAAACTCTTGCGTTTGTTTGAACGAATGTGTGCCGCACTTAGGCGAGAGCCACATGTTAAAAACGATTCGCCCCCAATCCGTGAAACTCTTGCAAATGTTTAAAGCGAATGTGCGCCGCGCTAAGGCGAGAGCCACATTTTGAAAACGACTCGCCCTTCATCGGTGAAACTGTTGCCAATCCTGAAACCTCAGAGTCATAAAAGATGAGGAATTCTCAGGCGAAACGTCTGGCCCGCTCTAAAAACTGGCATCGGGGTGCGTCAAGAAGGGATTAGTTATAAGGAAAAGGAATGGAGGAGGAGGAGGAGGAGATGAAGGAGGAGCAGGATGAGGAGGAGCAGGAGGAGGAGGAGGAGGAGAGGTGTTGGAACGAGGAGGAGGAGGAGGAGAGGTGTAACGAGAAGAAGGAGGAGAAGGAGGAGGAGGAAGAAGAGAAGAAGAACTGGAAGGAGGAAGAGGAGGACGAGAGGTGGAAGGTAGAAGCGGTGGAGGAGGTGGCAGGGCACGCTCGCGGAGCCACAAGGAGAGGGGGAGGAGGGGGAGGAGGCAGAAGGGAGGGAACGGGAAGGATCCCCGAGGCATTGGGGATACTTTGAGGGTTCTTGGGGGCTGCTTGGGGGGTTCCGGATATGTGCGGCCTGGTTGGGTGCGTATTTGGGGTGCCTCTTGGAGATTTGGAATCATGTTGAATGGTTGGCTTGAAGTTGCGCTGTGGTTGCACGCTGCTTGCATCATTTGTGGGATCTCTTGGGCTGGTTTTTTGGGCGTCTTGCGCCGTCCTGGACTCTTGCGACAGACGGTAATGGAGTTCTCAATTCTAATAAAACCAAGAGGCTCAGCCAATGTGGGTCGTTTGGGCCGACCCCCAAAGCTTGAAAGATGGCCAACTCCGCCCAAGATCGCCCCTGTCACTCCAGAGAGGGGGTGCGGGGAGGTGCAGTCACACCGAGATTTGCCCCTCTCCTGGCGGGGAGAAGATCAAATTAGCTTGGCGAAAGACCCAGCCAGATACAGCTGTGAATCGGAGGTTGGGGGGTGAGATCGCAGTGAAACGAAGACCCCAACTGGGAAATCGTTTCGTTTCGTTCGTGTCGCACGTGCGGGCGAGGCGAAGCTGCGTGGGCGCGCGAGAGGAATGAACCCGCCGCTGCTAGGGCGAAGTCCAGACAAATGACTATCCCCCGCCCGCCCGTCCGTCCGTCCGTTCGGCAGTGGCTCGCGGTGTCCCGCGGTGTCCCGTGGTGTCCCGTGGTGTCCGCCGTTGCAAGGGCGAAGTCAAGACAAATGATTCTGCCCCGCCCGCCCGTCCGTCCGTCCGTCTGGCGGTGGCTCGCGGTGTCCCGCGGTGTCCCGTGGTGTCCCGTGGTGTCCCGTTGAGTGAGATCGATATTGAGATCGATGCTGAGATCGATAGTGAGATCGACGTGGTGCCCCGAGGTGTCCCGTGGTGTCCCAAAACGTGAGATCGATAGTCAGATCGATAGTGAGATCGACAGGTGTCCCGTGGTGTCCCGTTGAGTGAGATCGATACTGAGATCGATACTGAGATCGATGTGGTGCCCCGAGGTGTCCCGTGGTGTCCCAAAAAGTGAGGTCGATAGTGAGATCGGCAGGTGTCCCGTGGTGTCCCGTTGAGTGAGATCGATAGTAAGATCGATCGTGAGATCGATGTGGTGTTCTGAGGTGTCCCGTGGTGTCCTATGGTGTCCCGTTGAGTGAGATCGATAGTGAGATCGATAGTGAGACCGATAGTGAGATCGAGAGGTGCCCCGCGTTGTCCCGTGGTGTCCGGTGGTGGACCGTGGTGTCCCGTGGTGTCCCGTTGAGTGAGATCGATAGTGAGATCGACAAGTGTCCCGTGGTGTCCCGTTGAGTGAGATCGATAGTGAGATAGATTGAGTCAGATGTTGGTTCCCCCCCTCTCCCCCCCCCACAACCTCCTCATCACCCGAAGGGTGGTCGTATCGGTGACGCAGTTGTGAGTATCGTATTCGGTGGAGTTCTCTATAGGGCAACGAAACGTGTGAGGGATGTACCAGAATGGGCGCGGTGGGCGCATGCGACCGCGTCTGAGGGGTGTGCCGAAATGGGCGCGGTAGCGCCACGCGAGCGCAGCCATTGGGGCCTTCGGTGGAACTCTCTTTCTACGGGGCCACGAAACGTGTGAGAGTGTGCCGCAATGGGCGCGGTGGCGCCATGCGAACGCAGAGCCATCGGAACATTC